GAACTCCTGCTGTACCGCTGATATATGAGAGGACAAAGCTGCACATTAAGGTCTCTCTCCATGTAAAATCAACAGCACTCCCATGACGTGGGTCAGATTTTCTGGACCATTAGCTCCGCCGAAGCATGAGGCCCTACTTATTCTGAAATTTATACCCCCGTATGAATATTTAAGGCTGTAGTTCACTGAATATTTCTTAATTCTCTAAACCTCACGAGCGCTTCTCCTAACAGCAAGAGGTTTGGAGCTCGGCAGGGAATAATATCAGTGAAGTGATGAAACTCGTGGAAATACTGAAAACTTTCACTGGGCTGGAGAAAAGGATACCAGATCGATGACACTTTCATACAAAGAGACGGTTTCGGTTTTTATTTCTGACTCCAGTGAACTCCAGATAAAAAAAGTTAAGAGGCCTGGACTGAAAAGGGCTTTTGAAACTTTTTTTTTGCTAGAGATATCTTAAAATGCTTTCCTAATATCAATTCTGTTTTAGGGATGTTTGATGTAAAGTACAAAGACATTTTTTTGCAGTACCAATCAGCTTTTGAAAAATGAGGAAAATGAAGAATAAAGCTGTGAAAAGATTAAACTCAGCCGTGTGTAAAAGTCCTGAAGCATCTCTCATTTCTTTATATTTTACTAAGAAAATGGGAAATACGTGCAGTGGTTTATTTAAATGAGCCAGTACACATGGAAATACAGTATATGAGGCAAAAATTAGCTTTTTACAATTCTAACAAGCCTGAAAGTCAATATTTGTCGTTATTTAACCCCCTTTATTCTTCAGCCCAGTCTGAACTCTCTTAGGCAGCTTTCTTGTCATTTGTTTAAGTAGTCTTCAGGAATAGTTCTCCAGGCTTCTTGAAGGACATCCAAAGCTCTTTATTGGATGTTTGTTCTGTTCTCTGTCAACACGATGCCACACTGCTTCGATAATGTTGATGTCCGGGCCCTGGGGAGGCTAATACACCAGCTTTTTTGCCGTGTTTCCCTTCCTTAAGAATGGCGTCTTAATAGACACTTTCACTGATACTATTTCCTGGCTAATAGCTCTTTGGGAATCCACTCGTTGGTGCGAAGATAGTATTTTATGTCTGTCAAACATGATCATTGATCAACATTTAAGTGGCTTAACAAAAAAAAAAAAAAAGCATTTGTCTGAAAATGGGTGCAAGAACTGTATGGCGTTATTTTTGTGCCACGATTCTGAGCGCACGTAAAAAAAAGTTTGCAGGTGCAAGTGTTGTATTTCGAGGAGAAATTTATTTTTGAGCAAAGAAAAGCTGAATTTGAGTGAACAAAACATTGCTGCGTGGAAAAAATGTATTTCCGCGTTTGCTATTATCCACCCACACATACAATAGCAGCCCCTCTCGCTCAGTTTTCGCATTTGCGCTCACTCACAATGTGTTGCTCGCGCTTTCAACATTTCTGCCCGTGTGTGCTCAACTCGTTCTGTACACCGTTATATTTGTGCCACAAAACCAGCCAATCACAGACTTGGATGCAAAAAAATCTGATTGGCTGTTCTGGTCTCCAATCAGCTCGAAATGACGAAATGCAATATCCCAGAATCCATTTCATCCAAAACTCAAACGAGGCAGTGGCAGAGGAACGCAGAGTGGCAAGGTTTGAAATATTACTCTTTCTGGGTCACAAAATAAACTTTTAAGATATTTTCATGCGAGAATGTTGCTGTGTAAACTTCTAATACCTGCTCGATTCATCAAGACATCACATATTTGCATAAGTGCTCTGACGTTTTCGGAGATGCCTTGTTACCCACCAGCTGACCGCTTGGGAACTCGGGTTAAACATAATATATAAAGCTGGACTGACAAAAAAAATCACAGACTACACCACCAGGTATTATAGGAAAAACCATAAAGCTGTTGTCACAGTGATGTACACTGTCTTGTTGGTACAGTGGGGCAAAAAAGTATTTAGTCAGCCACCGATTGTGCAAGTTCCCCCACTTAAAATGATGACAGAGGTCAGTAATTTGCACCAGAGGTACACTTCAACTGTGAGAGACAGAATGTGGAAAAAAAAATCCATGAATTCACATGGTAGGATTTGTAAAGAATTTATTCGTAAATTAGGGTGGAAAATAAGTATTTGGTCACCTCAAACAAGGAAAATCTCTGGCTCTCACAGACCTGTAACGTCTTCTGTAAGACGCTTTTCTGTCCCCACTCGTTACCTGTATGAATGGCACCTGTTTGAACTCATCATCTGTATAAAAGACACCTGTCCACAGCCTCAAACAGTCAGACTCCAAACTCCGCCATGGCCAAGACCAAAGAGCTTTCGAAGGACACCAGGAAAAGTATTGTAGACCTGCACCAGACTGGGAAGAGTGAATCTACAATAGGCAAGCAGCTTGGTGTGAAAAAATCAACTGTGGGAGCAATCATCAGAAAATGGAAGACATACAAGACCACTGATAATCTCCCTCGATCTGGGGCTCCACGCAAGATCTCATCCCGTGGGGTCAAAATGATCATGAGAACGGTGAGCAAAGATCCCAGAACCACACGGGGGGACCTGGTGAATGACCTGCAGAGAGCTGGGACCAAAGTAACAAAGGTCACCATCAGTAACACACTACAACGGCAGGGAATCAAATCCCGCAGTGCCAGACGTGTTCCGCTGCTGAAGCCAGTGGATGTCCAGGCCCGTCTGAAGTTTGCCAGAGAGCACATGGATGATACAGCAGAGGATTGGGAGAATGTCATGTGGTCAGATGAAACCAAAGTAGAACTTTTTGGTAAAAACTCAACTCGTCGTGTTTGGAGGAAGAAGAATACTGAGTTGCATCCCAAGAACACCATACCTACTGTGAAGCATGGGGGTGGAAACATCATGCTATGGGGCTGTTTTTCTGCCAAGGGACAGGACGACTGATCCGTGTTAAGGACAGAATGAATGGGGCCATGTATCGTGAGATTTTGAGCCAAAACCTCCTTCCATCAGTGAGAACTTTGAAGATGAAACGAGGCTGGGTCTTCCAACATGACAATGATCCAAAACACACCGCCCGGGCAACAAAGGAGTGGCTCCGTAAGAAGCATTTGAAAGTCCTGGAGTGGCCTAGCCAGTCTCCAGACCTCAACCCCATAGAAAATCTGTGCGGGAGTTGAAAGTCCGTGTTGCTCGGCGACAGCCCCAAAACATCACTGCTCTCGAGAAGATCTGCATGGAGGAATGGGCCAAAATACCAGCTACTGTGTGTGCAAACCTGGTAAAGACCTATAGTAAACGTTTGACCTCTGTTATTGCCAACAAAGGTTATGTTACAAAGTATTGAGTTGTATTTTTGTTATTGACCAAATACTTATTTTCCACCCTGATTTACAAATAAATTCTTTACAAATCCTACCATGTGGATTCATGGATTTTTTTTTTCACATTCTGTCTCTCACAGTTGAAGTGTACCTCTGGTGCAAATTACTGACCTCTGTCATCATTTTAGGTGGGGGAACTTGCACAATCGGTGGCTGACTAAATACTTTTTTGCCCCACTGTACCTGTTACCATTTATTTGATTAACTGCTGGACTTAACAGCTTTCACCATACTTGTAGTTTTCTTCAGAAGAAGCACTGATGTGTATTAAAGTTTGCACAAAACTGTCTAAATGTATCATTAAACATATTGTGATATTGCTGAAAGGATGTTTAATGCATTTTAAAAATAGTAGAAACCTTTTCCTTTACTGAAAATTGCTCTATTTCATGGCAAGTTACTATATTTTTAAGCTACAAGCACAAAATACTGCAGTCATGCAGCAAAAGTTTGGCAGTGTGTCCATAAAATGTGATGTGATGTCCTCTAGTGGTCATTATGAGTATTACAGTCAGTGTTTGCTGAGCTCATGGGCACAGTTCAGCCAGAAAAGAAGTAAAGCCTTCAAACACACCTCTTTTTCATGCAGTCATCTACTGTATTCACTTCTTTCCTCATTGTCGTTGCTATAAGTCATAATGGAGAAATCTGTCATTGTTCCCTCAGCAGATACCTCTAGAAGCATTCCGACGTCCAGGACCGACAAGAATCCCCAAACCGAAGGGCTTCTGCTCCCAGAAAGGGACAAACAGCACAGCAGGAAACCTGGGACTGCAGTGCAAGAGTCAGCCGCCACAGACTCACATACCTGGTGGGAAAGAGCAGGCCTCACACACAGCTGCATCGCACAACAACAACCCAAATCTAGCAAACCGGAGACTGTGAAATCAATCATTTCTCTTCAGGAGGAAAGCTTTCAGTATGTCGACGCCAAAAACATACCCGTAGTTAGCTGATATATTAAACAGGATAACAATCATTTTAAACTGATGAAGACTTTAAGAGAAGATCCATCATGACCCATGATTCATCTGTGGTGCTTTCAAGACTGCAAAACTGCAACTGTTCAGCGTGTGCACTGCAAAAACTAACAAGTCACAGGAAGTACATTAAATGTGGATTCATTTAATTATTCACTGATTACAAACCAGTAAATAACTTTTTGTCAGATTTATGTGGGGAAGCCACTGTGAGAATTAAAAAAAAAAAAAAAGAAGCGTAACATTAGATCAGCAAGCGTGTTATATGTTGTTTAATGAAATATTTATTTGTATTGTGACTATTTTGGTTCCTCTTTGCTTACTTTTTATCTGTTGTCGGATACAGATGATGAAACAGCCTTTTATTCATTTCGCAGGATAGAACATGTTTGTATTTTTTAAGTGACAATAATGTACATACTGTAGGTATATAACTGTTGTAATGCAGCTCATTCATAGTGATTATGTGTAAATTGTGACATTTGTGGGGGTTTTTTGGTTATCAATAAAAATCTTTTTATACCTTGAACTCGAGAAATGTTTCCTATGTGACTAAAAAGAAAATCTTATCGACTGAGAGCATAAAGGAGAAACTGACAAAGCCAGTAAACATTATAGTGCGATAAGCCCAGATCATATGGATACTTAATAAAAGCTAGCGTTTGTGACCCGTGGTAGGTACCTATTTAAAATAGGACAGAGCCGTAGGCGCACAGTCAGTTTAAAAGAGTTTAATTTTTAATACAAAATAAAAGAAACAGTGTAACAGCAGCACCTAAAAACAATTAAAACGTTACCTTATTAAAAACGATAAAACTGTACGATTGCCCGTGAGACAGGACAAGCGCTGCGGGGAACAGTTTAAAAACAAATCGACATAGCACACAGGTTAAAAATGGACGGCAACTCACACATGATCCCAAATGGGTAAAACACTATAGAAAAAAAAGGCAAATCTTCAGCGCCGTCTTCACTCGGGCCCCCCGCTGTGCATGCAAAAGCGGGGAGGCAAAAAAAGGATTTGTTTTCCCTGCAGCGCCTTCACCGCCTGCGAATCAATATCTGTGGTGCCTACTGATACAGAAAAAAGTAAAACAAAAAAACAAAACCATCGACAGCCGCAGCAGTCAGTCCGTCGACTTACACCAGTTTAAAACAAATTAAAACACACTGATGTGTCGGGTCCTTTGCCCGCAGCCAGAAATCCACCTGGCAAAGCAGCAGCTCGGTACTCTGTGAATAAAAGGCAGGAGATCACTAGCTGGACAATAAAACACAGGAATATTCCTCCACTGAATTGGTTTTGTTACCTGTCCACAAGTTCGTGTCACACCCTAATAAATGTGGGTCAGTGGCGATGAAGTCCACTATACCGTTCTCACGGGAGCAATGTTTCCCACCTACAAGGGTGCAAATAACTGTAAACCTCTGCCAACAGCCAGAGCTCAAGTGGTACATTTTTGTGTAACCTACCGTTCTAAAAGAACTTTAGGGGAGGACGCGTATCAGACTTTCATAGTTAAGAAACACCAACTTGCCCAACTCGGACCAAGCACTCGCAGCTTCAGGTTTGCAAAGGAATACCCAATTGCCCACACCTGCGCTTATGAAAGGAGCGAAGACCAGCTCCGCCCACCAGGGGCGGTCCCAAGTCTCCAGGTCTCACCTGTCACACTTAGAAAAAGAAATTGAATGTTGCCTTACTGTGGTCATTTTAACTCATGCAAAACTGCAAAAGCAGCTTTGCGTGATACCTTCAGTATATCCATTGTGCAGCAGGAGCAACAGTTTTTCCATGCATACACCATATAGATATTTCACTACAAGACAAGAGTGGATCAGAGAAGATTGTAACACACATACATACGTCAAAATTTTAAAATCTAGAGAAATGATGTGGAAGATTTTCGGGAAATAGCAATTTTGTATTATTAATTGGTCGACGTTCAGCAGCTCGCACAATTTGGGGCTTACGTTTAATTAATTGTGACGCAGTACAGAAAAGTTGGCAAAAGATGCAGACTGTGAACACTGGCTGCATACAAAAACAGCCAAGCAAGGACACAAGAAAGAACAGCCAGACTTTGCAGTATTGTCAATGAGAGCACGACTGATATAGAATTTTTACGACCGATACTGGTACCGATATTAGGTGATATTACAAATCTGATACATTGATCGACATTTTTTTTCCATTCAAACACACAAATCATAAACAGATTTGTCTAACATTTCCTATGAGTAATTATTTGAGTAGTTACTAAGATAATATAATAACACTGCTTAAATATCGACTCCCTTACTGTCTGCTCGGATTGGCTGGTTGTTGTTTGAAGCATTTAAAACACGTGTTGCAAACAGGAAAGTTGCAGAATGCTCTATGAACATGTGTTTGAATAAGTAAATAAGTGCTCAAACAGAGTAGAAAAGCGCTCCACAAGTAGTGGTCCATTTTCCATAAATGAAGACAATATAATGGCAGGTCGCTAATATCGGCCTCTGTTTCTGTTGTTTGTTATCTTACCTGTTGTCTTCTACAAACAATGTCCAGAAAAGCTTATTCAAGAGTTTCTGAAACAAAAATTGCAAATAAACCTTTATGTCTTTAGCCTATTGCGTTAAGGCTGTTTGGATGATTTCTTATAGTTTTTATTGGAAGTTTAATCATTTACAAATGTGCTAGAAAGGACTGTTTATCAGTTTCCCCCATTAATAAAAGTATCTTTGATACAGAATTTAATACAAAATAAAGAAATACTGATTAACAAAATCAGTTTTTTGCATGTTACTCTGCATGTTTTGAAATTTTAGGAACATAAGAAAGGGGAAAAAAATGAAACTTTTGGACTGTGGTTTTTTTCATGCTGTATTACATTTATTACACCAAAAAACAAGACTTAGAGCACCACAGTTCTTTATCAGACCTTTCTCATATCACAAAAAACTACCAGAAATACATCAGTTGAGGCAACAGCCTACTTTACATTTTCCAGACAGTTACCTGTGTTTTTCTCACACCAGTCAGAGATTACACAGACTTTGAACCTGGGAGCTGGCAGGATGAAGTCTGCTTAACATCTGATCTGACTCAACATACAGCTCTGCTTGGTATTGCTAAGAAAAGGTCAAGACAGCATGTGAAACTGTGTGAAAATGTCTAATGTCTAATGAATAACTGTATCGCTAAATGGAGTATAAGGATGTTGTAAACTCAATTCAATTTTATTTATATAGCGCCAAATCACAACAAATGTCGCCTCAACAACCCAACAATCATATGACCCCTACATATTCACACTTAACTACGACATTAAAATAGAATTTCCTTCATAAATTTTAGTTTCCAAAAACCTTTTGACATAAAAACAGTCAAACAGTCTTTTTCCAAACCTCGCTGTCACTGATGTCCTGCCAAAGCACACTCTATAGCTGAACGCAGCACAGATAGGAAGTGCCGTCTCTCTTCTCCTCTCTGTGTGGCACAGACCCAGGAGTGGCAGGGACCCTCAAGGACAAAGGCATGGCTCACATCTACAGAGAAATACATGAATAAAGTTGTAAGCTTTAGAATTAAAGGTGCTTATTTTACCCACTAGAGGTCAGCAAACACTGAAAAACTCACAGCGTGTGTGCCTGATCTCTCTCACAGACAGGCTGGTGAGAGCCACAGAGGCCAGAAATGTGTGCGTGCTCTGGTGAGCCAGCATGAAAGGTGTGTGCCGCACATTTTGCCGAGTCAACACCAAAGCATTGTTGAGCAGGAAGAGGCCCACATCACAGACGTGCTGATAGGTCCTACGGCAAAGGATTAGTTCAAAAACATTTGGTAGCACTTTATAATACGGCCTGCGACTAAGGGTGTAATTCCCCTGTAATAAAATGGAATTTCAAAGTATTTTATCTCAAATTAAAATGTAATTATACTGTGTACTGTAAGTAAATGTAAGTACTGTGCAAGTAATTTCAGGTAGTGTGCAATGTCATGGCAATTTTGCAAAAAAACAAACACTATTTCCCAACTTGCAACTTTCAGTTCAGTGGACGTACTATGGAGTGTATTAAACCTGTCTTTTGTTTTTACATCTTTATTTTTTTCTTTATTTAATAGCAAAGGATTAATAGCAAAGTTATTCTGTTCCCATTCAAACCGTGCAATATAACCCAACAGTATTTCATCGAATGTTTGTTTCATCTCCCCATAATATCCTGCTACTCTCTTTTCAATTGCACAATACTATGTCACTTTTAGAATCACCTGCACTGATAGCTAAGATATTTATTTTTCAGGATATAGTTATATTGTTACTTCGTTAGAGTTAATTGATATTATATTTTGCACTATCCTACTGTATACTACTATTCTTATTGTATATGTTATTCCTCTGTTCTCTGTCTCTCTTGCTGCATTGAGCATGTGTATGACAAAAGAATTTCCCTCAGGTTAAATAAAGTTCTTCTTATCTTATCTTATCTTATCTTATCTTATCTTATCTTATCTTATAATGGAGCCAAGTATAACCTTTTTTTTCTCTTTCACAATCACTGTTCAAACACAACTTTTAAAGGAAGTGTCTTGTTTCATGTAAAATACCAGGAAGTTAGGCAAGATTAAGCTACCACATAATATAGTCCGCACCCAGAAAAGTGCAGCGTAGTTAGCTTGAAAGACAGGGAGATGTTGGGTTTTTTCACAAAATTAACAAAACATTAAACAGTACTTAAAATTACTTACAATGCAATTCTTCTTTCTTTCCCGTAAATACATGAAGTTATGTAATATTTAAAATACTTAATTAAAATTACTTACAGTCTGCTTAAATTTGAAATTCCATTTAATTACAAAAGAATTACACCCTCAGTTGTGGGCCGTATTAAAAAGTGTTACTAAGCATTTGAATGAAACAGACAAAGTACATACGCATGCAAAGTTACATAAAGAAGAACATTATTATACTGCAAATACACATGGTTACAAAATAGTCTGAATCTGAGCACGTAGCATCGTGAAATGAGAATGTAAATGAAAGAAAATTGGTGTTTTTACTTGAGAGAATCTGGTATCTGCTCATCAGGGCTCCTGTGCAGAGCAGCATCCTGAGTCATTATTAGTTGCCTGTTTTCTTCACTGAGGTTCTACACACACACACACACAAATATATGGTTTTGAGCATATATTATAAATTATTAAAGAGTTAGAGGCATGAAGAGAGAGGAAGAGCTATATGTGTTTTTTGTATTTTTTACCGGACAGCCTTGAATCTGTCGCTGCGTTTCCTCTATCAGTCTGTCTGCCTCTGAGGTGCGCTTTAACTGAACACAACAAAGTACATATGCATAAGAGGAGAGCCAGCACAGCCACAACAGAGGCATTTACATGGCTTATAGCTCTCAGTTCATGCGTCACCTTGTGTATGAACTCTCTGAACTGGAGCAGCGTGTTGAGGGCAGAGCGGAGATGTGCGTGGTCAGGATGACCGGGGTGTGTGTGCAAGGACAGAGCTTGAAGCAGAGTCACATACTCCTGCATCCTCCACACTGGGCACAGCAGCAGCTCTTGTAGGCTTCATAAACACAAACGTACTTTGAAACACTGTGGTTTGATACATGCAGGCAGGTATGCATAATAGCAAATAAAAGCGTTGTGTCTGCTCTTACCTCAGCATGTGAGTTGCAAGTGTTCTGTCTGATCTCTTCAAGAAAGCTCGAAATGATGGTTTGCTCTCCCTGCACTGACGCAAATACATGTACAGATACACCACAATTAAATTCAGATATATTTTTGTGTTTAACTATTAGAGCCGAACAATAGTGTGTACTGCATCTTCCGTAAACCAGAACAAACTCGTTTTAATCGTATACTTTATTCGTACCTGCATGAGCCACTTTGCATGGCTTTCGTAAAGGGAAGATTACTCAATAAAAAAAAATTCAACCTCAATCAAAATAAATAGAGAAAATCAATTTTCTTTTAGAGTAAAAACTACAATGTCACACACTCTCAACGCTCAGCTAGCCAAATCTGAAACCCAAAGAATACATTATGTACCATTAAAATTATTATAAACTGCAGTAATGTTTGACCTGTTTGTGCTGCTGGCCATGAAATGAAAACGCTTATATAATGCTTTTATAAGAGGTTAAAGGTGCTAGAAATACTAGAAATTGGTTATTTTAGCCCTTTGGCAGGTGGTTGCTATGCAACATGATGATGGCATTGATTGTTAATTGTCAATTGTCATGTAAACCATTTCTGCTAAATTTCAAGTTATGTACGATTAAACAAATGTTCTTTGTTTAAAAAGACACTGGCTTTACCTTATCAATGGTCTGGATGGCAGTGGTGTAGTTGTTGAGGTAGTTTGTGTAGACTTTAAGTTTTGAGCAGAACTTCACGAAAACATCTCCAATACACTTCTCTGCACCCCACTGCTGTAGCCGCACCTGTAAATCAGCCTGAAACACCCTGTGAAGTACACACAAACATGTCTCCCGTGTCATATCCACACAGACAGACAACTTAAAGGGTGGTTAAGTTGACTGTGTTACGCCTGTGTGGCCTGAGAAGGTCATCATTTCCCTCGCTCCCTTCGAGGAATGACACATCCAGGTTGTGTTTTTTTCACACTAGTGCCAATACCAGCACACATACATTTCACTGATTTGAGCATTCATTATCCTAACATCTCCTCATATCACATGTTTATTTATTTATTTGATTTAGTGAATAAAATAATGATTGGCAACACACCCTGCTTGGTCTCACATCCTTGTCATTGGCCGGCAATTAGGGGCTCATCCGGGATCTAACTGATGTTTGGAGACAGTTTGCTTTGTCCTTTGACTCTTGCTCCAGGTCAGGTGGATACCGTTTCCACCTCTGACCTGGAGCAAGTGTTTTGTGGAGATTTGGCTTGTTTTGAAGTCACCTTACATATTCAATTAAATTCTATTTTATTTATATGGCACCAAATCACAACAACAGTCACCTCAAGGCACAATTACATGACCCCCTATGAGCAAGCACTTTGGCAACAGGGGAGTCACCGCACCTAGTGCTCCGTTTACCACTGGGACCATGTACTTCACCTCACATCTTCTCGAGCTCTTCTCTGGCCTTGGTATTTCTCGAGCTTCTGTGTTCCTTCTTCTGATGTTCCTCTCTTCGAAGCTAATGTATATATATAAATATATACGTGTGTGTGTGTGTGTGTGTGTGTGTGTGTGTGTGTATTTGTTTGTACCTGTTGAGCTCCAGTATTTGTGCAACAGGACTGAGGACAACATGGATGTCAGCATAGCTCAGAATGGCTCTGTTGGAGTTCAGAGCTGCTGTGAGAGGCTCCTTGTACACCTTCAGCGCAGACGACACATATCAAATGAATATTTCTAAATACTGAAAGCTTTCTTCTCTCTGATGTCAACATAAACACTGTGAGTGTCAAAAATGGACAAAAATGGACTTGCAGGGTTGTGGTTGCCCTTAAAATTCAACTTGTGTGGTTTGCATATATTAAATAATCGATACCTGTATTCTGGACTTGCTTAGACAGATGTATATATATGTTTTAGTTCTGAAGGAATATTGTTTTACCACTGATTGTTAAGTTCTGGCACTTGCAGATAAAAAACAAACAAAACTAAAGTATACCTTCAGCACAGCGCTCAGCTTTCCCAAATAAAGACACTCGCTGTGGTGCAGCTCTCTCGCAGCTGCACCTCTCCAATCCAGAACCATCTAAAACCAAAAGAAAAAAGATGAATTAATTGTTCTCCTTGAGTTTCCACTACAAGGGGCAGTTTAAAGCAGACACACCTGTGGTGTAGGTATCACGTTGAAGCATGTCTGTGAACCACCATCAGCTCCACTGCTGTCCTGTCCATTACCCTCTTGTCCCTTCTTCTCTTCATTCCAGTTTTTCAGAAAGATGGAAAGAAACTCCACAGGTCGGGTCTGAAGGTGTAAGAGAAGGTTAAAAAACACACACAAACACTCTTATGTGAGTTATGTCCAATTACTTTTTTCTTTTTCTGTTGAACTGGTGCATTACACAAACTGCTCTACAGTAATTCCCACCTCCTCCTCTCTGGTCAGAGCAGTGAGTCCTTCGATCAGAGCCTCGCTGAGATCTCTGGACACACAAATCTCATCAAGGCGGATTCTCTCCCACAGAAAATAGCCTAGAAAAATAGAATTTAACCAGACTGCTACTTATATAGTACTTTTCTATTTATATTTAGCACTCAAAGACGTTTCTTATTCATACAACACCTTATTCATAAAAATGCTTTTCTCTACAGTTAAATACTTTTAACCAGGGGTTCAGCATCTTGGCCAAAGATCCACTGCACTTCTAATTAGTAGACGATCTGCTCTACTTAACCACGACAAAACCACCGTCATGAACTCACCCAGAGCTCGGCCCCTGGCCTGGAGGCTGGTCCACTGTAGCTGTAGCCCTAAGGTGCTCCTCAGCTCTACCAGAGCCTCCTCCATCCATGGCTGTGCCCCGCTGCAGTACAGCCTCACACACATACTGCAGGGCCGGGAGTGCTGGCTGGTTCTCTGAGAGGCCAGTAGGCACATTGCCGTCAGACCACTCGCTGAGGACTGGGAGAAGATGAAGTATGTTTAAAGAAACACACACTGTGAGGGATACTGTAGTCTACGAAACAATGACAGGGGAGGGGAATATTCCTATGCTTAGGGTCAAAGTTTAAGGGGTTACGCACTGTTCTGGAAATTCCCGGTGGCCACACCCACCGGTGCCCGAACCTCCAGACCAGTCAAAGTGGAGAGATTCTGGAGGAGAGTCACTCCTGATGCTGCAGAAGAGAAAACAGGAGGCGAAGCAGGAGGGAGCTGAAGTTAATGAGAAAATGCTGATTAGAGAGAAGAGTATGTGTGTTGTAACATCTGCTACCAGATGCAGCCAGTGGGCAGAATATGTCAATCCCTCCTCCTTCCTCAGTTGGAGCCACCATGCCACACAGTTTTTCCCAGAATTCCCTATGATCAGGAGTCAGTAGAGTCTTCTCTGATAGGCTAGAGTCTGAAAAGTCAGGGCAGAATTACATAGTAGGTCAGCAAAATAGTGTAATAGAGAAGTAATATCTCTTGGGCTAAGTTTTGGTCAATGGATTAAAATGGCAGGTACCACTTTGTTAAAATGTTTTCAAAATGTCAGCACAGGACTTTAGTCCAGTTAGTCCAGAACAAACTCCTGCAGTGTGTGCACATGAATTTACTCATTGTGATTGAGTCTCACTGTGAAGCAGGTGAATGTCCTGTGTTCCTCCGCAAGCTAGCAGGCCAATCCTCTGAGCTGGTTTCCCAGAAATAGCCCTCTCCACCTGGGTTAGCAGAGATGAGAGAGTCCCTCTATGGTCATAGAGAACCGCAGTCACACTGGGCTTCACTCCGCTCAACACCAGCTAGATTAAAAAGAGCGGACGGGGAGGAATGTTATTTATTCATCTTCCCAGTATGCATTTTATTTCTGTACTTGTGGGAGTGTTTTATGTCTGCTGTTTCAGGAAAATAAATAAATAAATAGATGATGATGTGGATTCACCTCATATGCAGGAATTCTGTTGGAGATGAGCAATAGCAGGGCAGGAGCGGATAGGTGAAGGGGAGAGACTGTGTGAGGCTGTGCAGGTCTGTAGATAAAAGACGACAGCGCTCCTCGGATCTTTCGTGTTTCGCTGAAAGATGAAAATGCATGTTGCTTTCAGCATACTGTGACATTATATTATACAGATGTTTTCACATGTGCTCACAGATAAGTTATTCAGTGTATATAAAGTATTTTGTACACTTCAATCGATTCAAAATAGACTTTGAAACCTCCAGAGCCGAAACAAAGCGGGCTACAAAAATGAGTCACTCCCAGTAGACGCCATTGTAAAATGTCACACTAAACAACAGAAATAAACATGTATACAGGATGCTACAAATATGGCTTTGGTCTCCAGGGATAAATTTCCCCTTGATAACAATGGTACAGTTGTTGAAGATTCAAAATGCAGAGTCCACTGACTGTGGTTGAAGCTGAGTGAGGTTCATCTAATATGTGGTTAGACAATCACCTGCTAATGCTGCAAGCCTGGACTTTCTCCCAGGTCTGAGGTGCAGTTGTGGGCTGTCCTCTTTCCAGGCTGAGAGAGTGGCTGGAAGAGCCAACGCTCCTCAGAGGCCAGGAGAGGGAGGGCTGAGAGACGAATGTTAGGCCAGACTTGGGTCTCCCTTTCTGGGTACCTCCACCTCTGGCTATTTCTGGCTTTGTGTAGCTGCCCCAGGGTTTCCTGGCACTCACAGATAGTCCTACAGATATCACAGATACAGTACATGCATCTGCCAGTAAGGGCGAGTTTTTACTAATCAGGAGCGTTTTGTGCTTAGCAATGAGTTGGAAAGGCAAAGATTAACTGTTTGAGAATCAATAAAATATATTAATCACATTCATTAAACACATTCAATAACATTCCTTCAGTTCAGGTTTATGTATTTAACACTAAATCATAAGATAAGTCGCTTTAACGTACAGTAAAACCAAAATGACCCCCTTTTAGATGGTGGGAATGAAGAACTCCCTCCTTCCAACAGACCCAGGGAGGGGCAGTCATCTACCATTACGCATTAGAGGTTGAAGGGGAAAGAGAAACGTAACAGAGATCATAGACAGGACAAAACACAGAATAAAAGATTGAGTAAACACTACGATTCGCTTACTAGTAACAAACCAACTGTATTCGAATTAACCAAAAAAACTATTAACTCATTCACTGCCAGCCATTGGCAGTGAATGAGTTAAACCCATTGACTCATTCACTGCAATTGACGGCTATAGACGTCAATGGCAGTGAATGAGTTAATGGATGATAACCATTCAGGCACATCTCACTGAATTATGAGACGCATGAAGGGAGTTAGAAATAGTCCAGTCTTAGTTCAGAACATCCACAATTCTGATTTGAACTTTGAACTGATATAAAAAATACAACACGTTTGACACAGGAAACCTTTGGATTTGTCTCTATATTTGTTTTCAGTCCCACAAAGCTTGTAATGACATTTATAAAAAGTTATAAAGGAAATGTCCCAGGAGCTGTTTTCACTAGTCAGGAATCAGACCATCAGGATCTCTGCCCACAACTGCTGCCCAACTCACATCTCACCAGAACCCTACAGTGCCTAGCGCAGATGGTGGGCCCACAGAAGGCCAGGCCCCATGGGCTAACGCCCAACCACCACCAAAGTTGGTAGGCAGGTGCGTCGTGATACAATGATCACCCGCCAGGTAAGCGGACACGCTGAAGAGAATATATCAGCTGACTTGCCTTGGTATCCTCCATGAACAACTTGAGGAGGTAGCCGGGGAGAGGGAGGTCTGGCTTTTTCTACTTAGAATACTGCCCCCACGACACAGACCCAGATTTTACCACCTCAAAAATGTGTTGCTATAGTTTCTACACCCTGTCATTTTTCTGTTTTTTCTTTTCCACTCACTCTTCTCCTCTCGAAGCTTTTCTCTGATTTGCTGCCTGATCCTCTTCTCCCTCCTCCTCTCTTCCTCCTCCTCTGTCATTCCTGTGCTTTGCTGGTTGAGGGTCCCATACATCTCTGCTGCCTCCCGTGGAGTGAGCCAGTCAAGTGTGGAGAGGCAAGAGACATAGTGACTTTTCCATGCACCAAACTCTTTTTCTCCAGGAGTGTAAGGAAGGAACCAGCCTCGTCTGATGCACCGGCCCGCCCACAGACAGTCCTAGAAAGAAGAAGAGGATTTAACTTGTTTCATAAAACCCCAATTAAGATGTATGAATACATTTCAGATCTCTTCAGGGCTTCTCACCTGCTCAGCTAGAACCCTCCAGTGCCAGCTGACTTGGGCAGCTTTGCAAAGGTCACGTGGGGACAGAAATGACATCACATACAGGGAGAGAAACCGAGGCAGCACCGACGTAAGGTCCACTTTAGTGACCGGAACCGTCTCAATCAGCAAATCCCGGCAGTACCTGTTCAGGTTACAGAGGTTACCAGTTTGAACTGTGCACCTGTGTACACTTTACTAGTTACAGTTTCAGGCTGAGATTAATGGTTAGGACACAAACGTGTACAATCCACTTTACCTGAGCTGTGACTTGGTGCAACGAGTGAGCAGAGAGTGCAGCAGGTGTTTCCTCTGTCTGTCCGTCCACAGATCAAACCAGTGCAGCACAAGATTCACTCTCTCCTCAAATAACTGGTATGGAAAATGGAAAAAGGATACCAACATAGACACATTCAGCGCGTGCAAAAGTCTCAAGCTACCTCTCATTTCTTAATATTTTGCTTCCAATTAGCCAGAATTTCTTGTAACTTTTTAAAGTGCTCTTGAGCAATAGTTCTCCAGGCTTTCTGCATGTCTTTCAAAGTTTTATTGGACATTGGCTACTTTTTCACTCATTTTCAGTCCAGTCCTTGTACCTGACCATTTTCAGAGGAATGCTTTTTGCTTGTTAAACCACTTAATACTGACCTAAATTCAAGTATATAAAAGGCACCTAACTTAAGGGAAGAACAACTGTTGTGTCTACACAGAACCAACTTAGCAAAAAACACTTTTAAATTGTATCTTTATGCACTTTGATACTTTGTTCTCATAACTTTAATTAAATCTACAAAACATTCCAGAACAAAACAGAACAAAAGGCAGAAGAAGAGAGAAGAAGAGCTTTGAATGTCCTTCAAGAAGCCTGAAGAACTATTCCTGAAGACTACTTAAAGACATGACAAGAAAGCTGCCTAAGAGAGTTCAGACAGTGCTGAAAAATAAATACTGTCACACCAAATATCAAAGTTGTTAGAATTGTAAAAACTTTTTTTGTGTTATATACTGTATTTCCATGTAAGTTTGCACGTTTCAGTAAATCGCTTAAGGAACTGACCTCCCAGCCCATTGTTCCTTCAGTGGGCTGGTTTCAGTCATTATGCAAATGTACTGTTTATAAGATTTGGGGAAACCTGCAGTCAGCTGAGACTGAAGAAGTCACTTGGATGAGTGACGAAACGTTTCTCCCACAAAACGCTACGTCCAGATGAAGACCAATAAAGAGTCTCTTGCTGGACATTGACTTTAGGTATGCTCAGTTCTACATTCTACATGTAGAAAATGAAATGATTGTGACAAAATACACAAGTATTTCAAATAAACTAAAATAAATATTAGGTGCTACTTTTCATTACATTTCTTGCAAACAAACGTAATGAAAGTAGAATTCTCCTGATGGTTTTATATAAGAGGTGTGGGCAGTAAATACAAGGTATGGCCTCGAATTGCATTAGTTTCCTCTGATGGTCAAATACTCAAGCTACCAATGTGCACAGAAATGCTGGCTCCATTGGAAAAACAATCAGTTTACCTTATTTAATAAACATATCTCTAAGAATAAACTTATTTTGCTGTGTTAAAAGAAGTGATTTAACTTCACCCTGTTTTTTTTATGTTTCATGCTTATTTTTTTAAACCTTCAGTTATGTTTGTTTCTCAGATACAGTAATGATGTTCCTGGGCCAATTTGACCTCGTACAGGTTTAGTTATCCAGGGCAATCCAATCCAATCAAGCAATGAATTCCAATAAACATTGTTTATATCTCATTATTAACTCCATTTCAATCAATATTTGGTCCACCTGTGTTCTTTACCCCTCACAGATCATGGTTCAATAAGGACATATTCGCTCGTTTTTCACAAAAAAAATGTACATTAAAACATTTTATTGTACATTGGAAATACCTACACGTAAAATTCACTTTTCATGACTGCTTCTTTTTTTTTTTGTATTACAAACATATATATTGATTGCAACTTATTAAGTCAAGCAGAAGAAGCTTCATATTTAAGAAAAATACTTTTAATTATTTATTTATTTTTGTAGATCATTTTACTTTGAAATGTGTCAATTTGATCCGCAACATAACCGGTTGGAGTGGAGTTTCAAAATTAGGAATTCAGTAGCCTTCATAAAGCCCTGCACTGTCCTGAAATGCATTAACTCTGATTTCAGTGACATGTTGTTGCTAATAGAATATCACAAAGTTTATCTGCAGGGGGTTTACCAAGGCCCACGTAGCATTTCTGACCTGCAGGTTGATCCGCTTGTTGTTCAGGGGAGTCCAGCTGCTGAAGCGGGTGTCGGACAGCAGGGCGCCGGCCTGCTGCGGCTCATAGTCCGTCCCGCTTAGCTGCCACCGCTTCACCGAGTGAGGGGCTGATGTCAGGCTCGCCTCCATGTGCACAGGCGGTTTAAACACCTTTGAGGAAGCACCTTGAGTTCCGCTTCACTTAAAGTCCGATCAATTTATTTCCAGATTGATGTCTTTAAGCCAAGTGTCCACTTGCCAGGCTGCCCCTTGTGCTGTTCTGTGCAGTCAGTCACCTTAGAGACGCATCAACAAAAGGATTCCTGCATTCCTGCACGCAGCACGTTCCCCTGCCTCCTGCACATTAATAATTCAACACGCAGGGTTCACATATAAGCAATCACAAATGAAAGCATCAAATGCTACACAAACTTTATACTTAACCACTAAAGGCTTAGTGTGCCATATTTGATACATGTTTTTTAAGAGCTGTACATCATAAATGTGACCCCCTAAATCCCCCTGAAAAACCTATTGCACAATACATTTTTAAGGAACAAAAAAAGGTCTGGAAAAAATATTATACAAATTTTACATATACGGAAATGTAATTATCATTATTTCGTGATTTTTTTTAATTGTCAGATGCTTCAATAAACACTCCATTTTCTGGCAATTAATTCATGGTTCAGACTTTAATGCTTGGAGGATCAAAGAGTATTCCCTTAGAAACCTGTACAAGTGGCACATCACCTAACAATGATGATCCCAATGATCCCAAACATACTTCCAATACAGTAAAAGTAGACCCGGATAGAAAAAGAACACAATGGAAAACTATCAATTCCGCCTCCCCCAATCCAGGTACTGTTATGACCCTATTTACTCACTTCTCTATTATCTTAGTTTACAGCTGCAACCAAGAAATTCAGACAGAGAACTTTATTGAGAAAAAAAACAAACAGGTTAAACACCCCAAAAACATGGGTTAAAATACAGTGTCCAAGAAAAAAGAAAAAGAATTTACAATCAAAGCAGCATCAAATTATCTTATCAAAACTCTGAATCCAAACCTAAACTCACCTAAAATCACTTAAAGTTTAGAACCAATAAGGCAAAAAATGATTAAATTAAGGCTTGTTTGTGATGACAACATTTGGACTGTTTAGTCTTCTCCAGCGTCAAAACAACACACCAGTGATAACGTGTGCAGTGCATGCTGTGTGTCGCATGGGTATGTGCAAATATACTGAAATGGACCAAGTCCACTCTGCAAAAATCATATGCAAAAATCGCAAACTGGAATTAACTACTCTCAGTACTCACCGGGTCCTTGTGTTATTTTTGGCTGGTTTAAGAATTTTTAAATCTATGCTGCTGTTTAAAGCTCTAATACTGAGAAACAATTAGAAACTAATGCCTAGACTTTGAAAAGTCCAGCTCTGTTTCTTACTGTGAGGAGATCAGTGCAACACAAGTGATCTACATACGTCTGATTAATGTCAAAGGAGCACGTTTACAATCACTTTCAGGTGAATGGCATCACTTTGGTTAGCAATGTATTGCAAATCTAAACTGCTTGGAAATGAGTGAACGCACTACGGCTTGGCTTTAAACAATACAGGGATCCACCAAAGCCAATATAGAAAATACAGAATACAGCACATTAGCTAAAGATCTCAGAGAACACAAACCTCCCTTGGATGCAGCCACGGCTCAGGTAAGTTAACATCCTGCTGTCTTAGTAAGATCAGACCAGAGAGATTTCCATTCAATATTAGCTATTGTTTAAAAAAAAAAAGAAGGGGAGGAGGAGGGGGGGGGGTGTAATGTGGTGCATCCCTATTAGATTACTTTACAATACATCCCTCCCCCTGTACAAACAGGGAACGCTTTGTTGCCATTTCCATTGCAATACATACAATCAACACTGCTGACACCTTATATATGAAGGATAGAAACTACCTAAATCAAAAATAAATTAATGATTTGTTTAAAAAAGAATTATATGCCATTAAATGTACAAAAAAGATTGAAAAAATATAGAAACTACTTTCATTGCTGAAATTTTATTTATTTATTAAATGTTAAATTAGATATTTGTTTTAAATTGCTTCTGCATTTACTTAGTAAAGAAGTCTGGATGCTTAATAATTTATGTGTATATATATGCATATTCAATTTTTTTAGCCCCAGACTTACTTTTTTTTGTTTTTTCCCCATTTGTTTATGCATTTCTGCTTCATTGTGCAGACTTTTAGCTAAAGGCAGCCACAATATGTGACAGAAAAATGCATAAAGAAATGTTTGAGGAAATGAGTAAGTAAAAACTTTCAAATGTGTAAGTCAGCAAGTTAAAATTAATATAAAGGTAAATAAGTACAAAAGCAACTTAAAGCAAATGTGCCATATATGGTCAATTTATTATTATTGTCATTTTTTTTTACTATATTTTGGTTCATTTAATTGCATACATATATATATACACATATATATATATATACACATATATATATACACACATATATATATATATATATACATATATATATATATATATATATATATATATATATATATATATATATATACACATATATATATATATATATATATATATATATATAATATATATATATATATATATATATAGATAGATAGATAGATAGATATTTTGCATTTATTTATTATGGCAGTTTCAACCCCCCATACTTATAGACCCCCATAGGTACTATAAATGAAATAGTCGGCTCAAATTTGATTGAGAAATGTTGGGACGACGGAAGTCACACGCTCGCAGTCCTCGGGATCTCTTGTGTGTCGGCTAGATTCAGTTTCTGACTGGAGAAACGATGTCAAGAAATACAAAAGTTACAGGAGCTGTTAAACGTGAGCTTATTTCAAACGTATTAAGGGCAAAGACAAAAGGATACATGGAAGAACTCAGCTCCTCCAGCTGTGGAAAAAAAAATAACATGTTTTACTTCACTACAAATGCAAAAAAAATGATTGCAGAATGACATTCCAGACTTTATCCTGTTCAGCATGAAGCCAGCTGACTAAACTCTTTAAGAGTTTAACACTTGCCGGAGGATAAGCAGCTAAATCCTCACAGGGATACTGAGTAGTTACATGACATCAGTGAACGGATTATTTGGCAACACTGTTAAACTGTCAGGCAGCATGCCACGGGCTATGAAAATAATATTTTATGAGTTATGTCACAGTGGCCTTACATTAAGGAGCAACTTGTCCATGTTGGTGTCGCAGGCTGTTTTCCTCTGATCCTCGGGCATTTCATCCACCTCACCGTAGAGGTCAAAGTGCAAGCGTGCCAGCTTCTCCTGCATCTCTCTCACATGTTCCATTTGGTCAATAGAGCACTCATTGCCTAAGACAAAAACAGTCCTCAGTTATCCGTATCTATCATATCTCTCTCTAAGTGTATAGGATAATTTCTATTACTGGATATATGAAAGTCAGTGTGTGCTCTGGTAAAACGTTCCTGTTTTTAGTGAGAATTACCAAATGCCTGTAGTTTCCCTGAGTGGAAGTCGTTGAGGAGACTGAGCAGGCCATTCTCCATCTCCTGTACATCTGAAACATCTGTGAGAAAAGAGTGCTGGACGATCGGTGTTGCCTGGCCCTGGTTCTGACTAGCTTTACCACCCAAACCCTGCTGATACCTGGGTTTATCCTTCACTCCCCTAAAACAGGCGGAAGCAAATACAGGCAGAGTGAGTACAAGTCAACAACCCCAGTTCGGTTAAGGCTGGGTAAAACTGAAAAATATTGAGAGGTTAAATCATTGTAACTACACTGTTACTACCTCCTGCTCTTGTTCTTTTGGCTGGAGTGAGTCCCCGTGTAGCCAAGGTGCCGTCCTCCAGTGGAAGCGCTATTCTTCCGGCCAGAGCCACCGGACGGAGGCGCCGCGCTGGTGGAAGTCCTGGGACTCTTTCTTTTTAGCTTCCGCTCCTCCATAACTTCATGTTACGGTGCCACTTGGTGAGCTGACCGGACTGGATAGGTAAAAGACGAAAAGCTGACAGGTTGGACTGTAAATCAAAGCCCAGCCCTGTGGCTAACCGTACAGAATCAGCCTGGCAGGGCAGGCAGGCTCCGTACAAACCGATGGCTTTCGTGACTAAGCTAACGCTAGCTCAGGAGCTAGCTACTCGGCTAACCTTCAAACTTCTGACACGGCGTTTAAGCCACACAGCACAAACATAAGCCGATAGATATATTTACTCCCAGTAGCAGCTGAGAAGGGTATACGTTACTTCTGTTCGTGACAGGTTGTCCACTAGATTAAAACATTTGAAAATTCATAGTAATTTCCGAATGTACCCCGCAGGTTAGGTGGCTAGCTTGCAGGTCCAAACTCTTGAAAACTTCCTGTTTTGGTAGGACGCAACGGAGCAGATTGGGGCCGAATTCCAAACCATAACGCTTCACGGCCACTATCCATAGTCAAATTACTAAGTAAAACATGCTTAATCGTGTTACACAACAACGTGGTGCCAATCAAATACAAGCAAAGCTTTATAAAAGCACAAATATACTTACTTTTGAATAAAATAATTTTTTTGACCTTCTCTGTAGAGTCCTCCTGAGGCCACCAGGGCTGCATTCCATTATAGTTTGATATGCTCTCACCGATTTTAGTACTATTTGTTCCTTGAATATTTACAAGACATTTAATATCATTCTTAAAATTAATTTCATTTTAAATGTACTTTATTAATTTCGAACATTTATTTTAGTTGTTATTTGTGAAGTTTTATATGTGAATGCTTGTTTTTATGCATTCAGAAAGAGGAATTTCTTCTTTCTTTCATGTTATTTTTTATATTAAGCACATTTTATGTAACTATTTTAAGTATAACTCTGCAGACTCGGTTATTAATTTCGTTTGAGTGAGCCAACTATGGGTATTATAGGTAGCTTAAAACTAAACTAGACTACAAAAAAGGAAAAAATAATTGAACTGATGTGGAGAGGTTGGAAAGCTAACTAAAACAAAGTAAAAAATATAGAGGAAATATAGTTCATTTTAGTATCTGTTAGTTTGGTAAAAAAAAATTATTACAGCTTCCTTGATGAGGCATTAATGGACATGATTATCGAGAAGACAAGATGTCTACAAGACTGCGAGTCAACTGCTTTTAAAAAGTTGTCTGTTATTATAGTAACTCTGGAGCTAACAGAGGAACATCACCAAGCAACATCTCCTCTACTTTGACTTCAGTGTAGTTGCGTAAAGCAACCACAAGAGAGCGATAGGTGAACACCTAATAATGATGCCCTGCCTTTCCCCTTTTCTTAATTAGGAATTCTTTGCTGATAAACATAATGAAAAGAGGCTCTTTGTACACTTTAGTTGTGCATATTTTCACAAATATAAACGAAATTAAAAAACCCCGCTTAACTGAATTCCAGACAGACTATTCAACTTTTTATTGGCAACGCCAAATATTTTGCACTCAGTGAGCATCCGAGTGTGTGTGTGTTTAGAGGTGTGTATGCAATGCTATTCCAGTCCTAGTCTTGAATAGCTTCATTAATAGCTGATTTTATTCACTTTTACTGGAACATAATGAAGAAAAAAACCCAACAAATTCTTCTGATTTTCGGCATTTGCGATTGCATTGCTGTCCCTCACTTGTATTGATAAGCTGGCCTTTGTGTTACTCAGTAGAGAGAGAGAGAGGGAGGAAAAAAAGGTAATTCAGGAAGAGGGAAAAAACAACAACAGATAAATGCTTAATGTGAATTACAAAATGAATTTCAGTTTGCATCTAAAAACCCTAACTTCCTGCCAAAGGGGTCAAGTTAAAAGTATGACCCAATGAGGATATTTGAAATATCAGACTGTTATATGCTCTTAAAAGATGTGTTTTTCACCCCCACCCCCTGTTAAATGGCTGGGGCTGAATTCTGTGTGACACATCAGGCAACCCGCAGATGTTTTTCTGATCTTGAGCCTCTTGATTTAAAGCTCAGGAAATGACGCACCGTAGATGCGTTGATGCAAACACAGGCTGTAGATCAACCTCGCTGACGCTAATATTCCATTCACGCACATTAACTAGATTTATTATATTTAAAACTGTAGCTCAATTGCACCATGGAAAGGCCCAGTGCGCTGTTTTAAGTCTGCTCAATCCTTCCAGCTCCTCTCCATTAGTTCCAGTTCCAACATCAGCTTTCCTCATAACTGTTTTTTCACAGCGATCGATAATCAAAAAAAGTGAAACAAAATTCTCAGAATTCTGGAAAACTACCTGGCGTGGAAAATGAACTTGAGCTGGTGGGTAATTTTCTCTCTCTCCCTCTTCCCATTCCCTCCATCCTCGCTGCTCGAGTGTGTGTTTACTGCGTGACAGTGGCAGAGTGAGTTGAACCAGGATAAAACGTTACAGATGAAAACATTTAGACTGTCGCGTCCACGCAGCCATTAAGTTAGCAGATCCACACACACACACATATATGCACACACGCATGCACCTATCTCTCATCAGTAATTGCAGTGTAGGTGCTGTTTGGAGAGCTAGCTACTAGTTACAGCCAGTTCATTCTTTTCTCGTGTGCACGCCTGCTTGAATATGCATTGGATTGTAAATGAATGACAACTCGTTTAATTACACGCTCGCTCTTATTCCTAATTCTAAGTTAGCAGGTCTTTTTTCCCCGATGTGGCGTTATTCGGGAATTCTGTCAGACAGACTGTCCCTATTAAAGGCTACAGTCTGGGATTGCAACAGATTTCAGTTAAGCTGATATGTGACTGCGTTTAATAAGAAGAGCTACACAACCTCATTTCAGTTATCCGTGTTTTATGAAGTTATTACTTCACTAAAATAAAAAGTCTCTCTCTTTTTTTCCTCCGAGGACCTGACCCATAATCAATGCAGAATATACACTGATGTTATATCAATCAGGAATAAAAGCATGAAGGACGTTCTGTTGTTTGTATTCATGCTCCGCGCACATCCGTGTTCGATACTGCATGTCCCCCAATGTGACAGGACACACATGAGACTTGTAGGCAAGACACTTTGTGTGTGTGTTTTCATTCCTGCAGCTGTAACCCAAAATAAGGCGTTTTAAAAAAAACAAATGTCTTCATTAATACAGACATACTTGACCCAAGTGTTTTCTATTAAAAAAAGATGAAATTTATATCGTTCTTGGTCTAGTGTATGAATAAATGTTCTGTGTGTGAGGGAGCTGGACATCTCGTCCTTGTCTTCTATTTGTCTTCCATACAAGGACAGGGATCAACGTGCACACAGTCACATAAACAACACGTGCAGTCTGGGATTGGCTGAGAGGAACGAGGAAGAGATAAGAAATGAGAATTTCTTAAAAAGTAATTTTTTTTCAGTTTTCTTCAGTAGAAATATTAAAGCACTGTGGATGTGATGCTGAGTATCCGATCACTTGGAATCACTTACACACTAAAAAGGATCAAAACAGGGACTAATCGGGCAAAAAAAATGGCTTTAAACTGTTCTCAACATGTCTGCGATGTATGTATGGAAGACGATTAGAGCCGCTGAAAATAATATGGCTCATGATTCTGGCTTTTCTTTCTTTTTCTTTTTTTTTTACATAGTTCTGATTTTTTTAAAAGTCAGAATTCTGACTTCAGTCTCTGGATTCTGAATTTCTTTAATAGTTCTGAGAAAAAACAATTGTAATTAAAGATTAAAGAAACATTTCAGGGAAGAAATGACTAATCTCAGAATTTAGCCTTTTTTTCTAGTTTGGAGAAAATATATTATTAAAGTGGAATCTGGGGGGGGGGGTTCAGAATTAATTTTTCCACTCAGAATTCTCAATCAAGGGATGACCTAAATATTATATATGTATTTTTTGTTTGTATTTCAGTGGCTGTAATCCTCTTCTGTACGTATGAGGTCAGGCATTAATGCTGGTAGTAACCTCATGCCCTATTTTTTTATTGTACTCTCCTGCTACATCGAATAATACAAATAATAATAATAATAATGATAAATAAATTTTTTACTGAGTAAGCGATAATTTCAGAAACATGTTGATTAATCTTGGTCAGTAAGGATGTAAAAGCAAGCTCAAACACCTGACACATGAGTGTTAACTACCAAAATATGAGCTTTAAGAAAAGATTTTGAAACCAAATGTGTTAAAGTTGAGACAGAATCGATTTTATCTGTCGATTTTTCACAAAGATGCACAGGCAGTTTAAACAGTATGTTCGAGTTTGAGAAAATTGTTAATTTTGAGTGATTGTTTATGTGTATTATATTTGTGCATATTGGACAACATACATGGATACGGATGTATGTGTGATAGCAACAGGCCCTTCAGCTGCATTAGCGTGTAACAATTAAAAAACAATCATTGGAAAAAGCTCTAGGTGAGAAATCAGTTCAAGGACTTATTAAAACCGATCAGATAAAAGATAATTGATTTTATTAAGAACTTAACAAAATAAACTCTGAACATCTAAATGGTCTAAAACCAGCTTTGTGATGTATATTAGTAATAAAGAGGTGTTCATTTTTGTTCACATAACTAGAATCCTCATATACTGGACTAAAGATGTAAGAGGAAGGTCCTGGAAAGAGAATTTTGGATCTAAAAGACTGCAGTTAAATGCCTTATGTAGGAGGTGCTGACTGTAAAATGTTGCTCCAAGAGTCTCTAATATTTAATATTTCATTTATTTATTATATAAGTCAATCAGGATCTCACTAATTCCACCCAATTTTCATCTGAGACACTTTGGTCATGCCGCATATCCTGGTATCTCCTCCTAAACTTCCGTCTCCCCCTGATTGAGTTCTTCCCCCTCTCCTCCTTCCTCTTCTTCCCTCCCTCCCCCCTCTACCCACTGGCCTCTTCCTGTCCTCCTCTCACCACTCTGTAGAGGGTCCAAGTGACATTTGGCTGTCCCCTGCCTCGAGGGGGTCCAGGAGATGCAGACGTTTTTGGCAGGCAGGCACAGGGAAGCCTAGGGGTCCTGACGGGGACTCCTGGACTAAGAAGAGAAAAAAAGTACACATCATAAAATGCACCCACAGTCAGGAACACACATACGCACTTGGGGTGCACATGCAAAAGCTAGCTAATGCGCAAACAGGGGAGAGCTGACACGTGTTAATGTGTATGCACACTCGTGCACCCACCCATCAAAAACATGTAATGAAGGCACAGTGGATGGTAAATGTGAGAAGGCGAGGGAAGCTG